CTTGAGCCTGAGCCTAGAGCTGCTGTCCGTGCTCGTGTTCCTCGTGTTCGTCGTCAGCGTGCTCCGGCTGTCCCCGGCACTCACGATATGACACTCCGTCCTTCCTCTGTTCCTCAGCGTGTTGTCCTACCGTTACCTCCTGCGTCCTCTTTGCCTGACGTTGCTGACCCTCCGTCTGACCTTGCTCGTGCGTCCAGTCCGACTGTTACTCGCCTTCTTGCTACGGTTGTGACGGACCCTACGTTCTCGTCTCCTGCTGCGTCTGCCCTAGTAGCTGAGCTCGTTGACTTTGCTGCTGTGTACCGCCTCGACTACCTTGCGAGTCTTGTCTCTGACCCTGTCCCTGCCTGTCCTCCGTCCGTCGGGGGTGAGACTGCTCTTGGCTGCACTGCCCTTGGCTGTGACGTTCTTGAGGACAGACAGGAGGAGCTGGAGTGCCTTGCTGCCGCTTCACCCCATCACGCGACCATGCTGCTTGCCCCTGAGGGAGACCCGGATGCACTTGACATCCCCACCCCGCGCTCCTACAGGGAGGCGATTTCGGGTGAGTACTCCTCTCAGTGGCAGACAGCCATGGACGCAGAGATGGCTTCCTGGAAGTCCACAGGCACCTACGTCGACGAGTTTCCCCCACCTGGGGCGAACATCGTCAGTGGCATGTGGATTTTCAGGGTGAAGCGGCCGCCGGGTTCTCCGCCTGCCTTCAAGGCACGTTACGTTGCTCGAGGCTTCAGTTAGCGTGAGGGGGTCGACTTCTTTCAGACCTTCTCCCCCACCCCGAAGATGACCACTCTTCGGGTGTTGCTACACGTTGCAGCTCAGCGTGACTACGAGCTGCACTCCCTCGACTTCTCGACAGCTTTCTTGCAGGGTAGCCTTCACGAGGCCATCTGGTTGCGCCGTCCACAGGGCTTCACTGGGTCGTTTCCTGAGGGTACCCAGTGGAGCCTACGGCGACCAGTGTACGGCTTGCGTCAGGCGCCCCGCGAGTGGCACGACACACTGAGGACGACACTTGCGGCTCTTGGGTTTGCTCCTTCGACTGCTGACCCGTCGCTGTTTCTACGCACCGACACTACTCTGCCGCCGTTCTACATCCTCGTGTACGTCGACGACTTGGTTTTTGCTACTGCTGACACTGAGGCACTGGCCCTAGTGAAGGCGGAGCTGCAGGAGAGACACACCTGCACTGACCTGGGCGAGCTGCGGAGCTATCTTGGCTTGCAGATCACCCGGGAGAGACCACGGCGCACCATCACCCTGACTCAGTCACACATGGTGCACCAGGTCCTACAGCGCTTCCGCTTCACGTACTCCTCGCCACAGCCCACTCCTCTGGCTACCGGCCACTCGCTCTCAGCTCCACCTTCGGACGAGTCCGTAGAGCCGAGTGGTCCGTACCCAGAGCTTGTGGGCTGCCTCATGTACCTGATGACGTGCACACGACCTGACCTCGCGTACCCTCTCAGCCTTCTGGCTCGCTACGTGGCACCCGGCAGGCACCGAAAGGTGCACTTTGATGCTGCGAAGAGGGTACTGCGTTACTTGTGCAGCACATCGGGCATGGGGCTCGTGCTTGGAGGACGGGGTTCGGTGGTCCTCACAGGACACTCTGACGCCTCTTGGGCCGACGACCAGGCGACTCAGCGTTCGTCACAGGGCTACACCTTCAGTCTTGGCGCTGGTTCTGTCTCGTGGAGGTCCACTCGTTCTTCTTCTGTGCTTGGTTCCAGTTGTGAGGCCGAGATCTACGCTGGGGCCATGGCTGCACAGGAGCTCCGCTGGCTGACCTACCTGCTGACCGACTTGGGGGAGCGGCCTCGTTCTCCTCCAGTTCTGTACGTCGACAACAAGGCAATGCTTGCCTTGTGTCGCGAGCAGAGACTGGAGCACAGAACGAAGCACATTGCTCTGCGCTACTTCCTTGCGCGTGAGCTGCAGCAGCGTGGTCAGCTGCGCCTTGCTTACGTGGCCTCTCGGGCCAACACTGCTGATGTCTTCACCAAGGCACTTGGGGCTGGTGATCATCAGCGTTTCTGCACTGCTCTTGGGCTTGTGCCCACTCTGCCTCACCTGCTGGTTGCTTGACTTGCTCTTGTTGTACACTGCTATATATATCTTTATACCTGCATGTTTACTCTTGCTAGGTTGTGATCGGTGTACTGCCTTGCTATTATAAATCTGCATGTGAACTGGCCTTGTGGCCGCCTGCTTGTGCTCAGATTGTGTGGTGTCCTTGAGATCCACCCTGGGCTTTGCCTTGCTTGTTCTCTTGCTTGACTGGTCTTGTGACCACTGTTAGGTTTGGCTATCCCCTACTTCACCTATGGGGGTGTGTCAAAACATATTGTTCTGTTCTTACTCTAGGTTGTGTAGGGTCACACCTTAGAGGGTATAACCCAACTCTCTCGACACTCTTGTACCCCCTCTCCCTTACCTAATGATCATTCCTCACCTAGCTAAGGATTCTAACACAGCACCCCACGTATCAACAAATTTGTAACCCAGTGCAGTTGTTCGTTGATATCCGGGTTCGTAAGGGCCACATTTTCTAGGGTTTCAAATGTTGTGCACGATGGTCCTGCCACAACCCCGCTAGGGCAGCTGACAAGTGTCTGCTTGAAGTCCTCAAAGGCGATCGCGGGTGCCGACGATGATGGAAAATCTGGTAACTAATTCGGCAACGAGATTCTCTGTTGTGGGGTGCTTCGCCTCAAGAACGACGAAACAATCACCACTTTACCTCAATTATGGGGAAAACCTTACAGTGCCCATCAGGCCGAACAGTTCGCTGGGATATTGCAAGAGGCACGAACCCGTGCAGAAGAAGCAATATAAGAAGGCAACTATTATCGCTAAACGCAACGCCGACACGTACCAGTCAAGAGACTTCGTACTGCTCAACACTCAGAACCGCCTGTTTGGCCAAAACTTCGACCTTACTACTGCGGCCTATTCAAGATCAGCCACATGATAACACATGTCATTGCTCACCTCATAATGCCTTCCAACTGGTACATCAGCCCATCGTTCCACGTCGGCCTTTTCCGACCCTACATTCCGACCACAAGCGATCTTCCACGGTAGTGGCCGCCGTCCATGGCTCGCCCCGCATCTAAGCTGGTAATTGATGTCAAGAAAATCCTCAAATCCTCAACCACATGATTCGTAACCCACATGGATTTGATGGATCCGGTTCCTTGTTCGCTGGGTAATAATGAGAGACACCCTGTCCTCCAAAAAAATTCGAGGAGACGTGGATTTCACAGAGATTTCACTGATTTCGGTGAGATGTGCATGCACTAAATATTAGCATGTTAATTCATACCTTTTGTTGGTATTCTTTTCTTCTTTTCTACTTTGCAGAGTAACGAGATTCGGGTGTTGGGTTCAGTGCTGGTATGGCACCCCCTTGGCGGCCGCCCAGTTTCTCTCTAGGGCTTTCCGGAGGAAGGCAGCGAAGTGGGGGTTCGCGTCGCGCGTGTCCCGCTGTGCGGCGTTGGGGGTACCGGCTCGCTCGAACACGCGGAATCTCGGATGTACCGAGGGAGGAATATGGACGGTTGGGGTAGAGGGAGGGAGACAGGAGAGATAGATGCAGTAAGAAAGGGAGGGCGGTGCTGCGGGAAGGGCTACCTGGTGAGGAACCGACCGACCAAAGCAGCACTGCTCCCTGGATCTCTGGCGGAGCAGAGCAGAGTGCACCTGCACCTTGTACACGTACTTACCATGAGCTCGATACAGTCACGCCACCCTGCAGCAATTCACATTTACGAGGCTCGCGGTTGCAAGGTGGAGCTTTGTTTGCGGCACAGCACAGTTGGCACCAGCAGCAGAGAGGGAAAGGAATACCCTAGCTGCGGCGCGGCACCAATCATAGATTCTCCTGAAGATTCCTCGAGTAAAGGTATACCTGTACCGGTAAAGTACTAGTGACGGTACCCCCTGACGCTGTAATGCGTTGTACTGCATCCCCTGTGTGCAATGATCCGAACCCGCGTGCAGAACCACGGGCAGCGGAACCAGAGAAGATGCTTCTGCAGAACCACGGGCAGGGTAATTAGTAGTACGACGGATTAGTGTACTGTACTAGAAGTAGTTTACTGTAGTGGTCACTGTACTGCTGTTTGTCCTGTAGTACCAAGGCGTTGGTCGGTGACGCCCCTGGTCTCACCCGCCGCAACGAACAAAGCTAGCGAATCACCTGAAGATCGGTGCGGTACGAGGTCTTCCGCTGCCATGGCGCGACGCGACTCTCCGTCCCCTCATTGTAAGAGGAGCACCGTCCTAGTGCTAGTTTCCCTTCCGTGACGACGTGTAGTTGCTGCTCATGATGAATCGGAAATCGTGAGGAAGCGTGGTAGTAGCGGCTAATGAATAATGATCAAGCATGATTCGTGACGAGCATCATGTATTGTTCGCCTCCAGTCCTCTCAACGCCGCCATTTTCAATCGCGTGTTAAAACACTAATCGCTTTCCGCGCGAATCAGTCACAGCAGCTTCCGTTTTTTCAGCCAGATTGTGTGCTGTCTAGTTTAGACTGACGTTCTCCTTAAAAGGCTTCTGACGGAAAGACATCAAGCCGGTTCAGTATCTTGAGTCAACTCTTAGTCGATTTTTGAGTCAGACTCAAAAAGGCACCTGACAGTCAGACAGCGACTCGGAGTCGGTTCAATCGACGGGCCAGACGACGAGGTCGTGGATTAATCTCAATATGAGCATCCATAGTGCCCTCCTGATGGCACATCACAAAACGTGCGTGTGATGTTGGCTGCATGAGCATAACATTCGGTTTTGAGAGATAAAAAAGATAATCTATGAGGCCCCAGAACACTTCACGCATCATTCCCCACTTTCCCCCCCAACCCCAAACCCCCACCCCTTACGTTATAAAGTGGCCACTGTCTGTCCCTCACACTTTTCTGCTACTTGATCTGTCCCACTTTCCTGCTACTAACCTGTCCCTCCCTCACACTTCTCTGCTACTACTCTGTGTCAGGTCGCGGGGCTCTCCTCCATCCCTCAGGGCATCACCAACACCTGTTGCTCTCAACAAGTCACCACCTGGCATCGCTGCTTCATCATCAGCACCATCATCGTTATCATCATCTCCAGTATCATTCGACTCATTGCTGCTCTATCATGGAGCCGCACCCCAAGCGTCTGGCGCGGCGGCGGCTGCGACGACGAGCAACCATTCCCATTCCCAAGCTTCAGCCCACGGCTCCCGCCGCCACTCCCTCTTCCGTCGCCGAAGCCTCACGCCCCCGCGCCGCGCCTCTGCCGCGCTGCTGCTTCCGCTGCTGGCCTCTGGCCGTTTCCTCTGCGACAAACGCCTGCTGCTTGCTCTGCTTGCTCTGCTCGCGACGGGTCTCGTCGCGTTACTCGGCGGTTTCGCGGGGCTTCGCAGGCCAGTTCCGATTGGGAGCTCGCAGTACCACCACGATCGGTGGTTCCGATTGGGATCTTCCTCCGAGGAGTCATGCGCGGCGGTGCTTTCTGGGCTATTCCAATACGACGTTGTGATTATAACAGAGGTGCGCTCGCTCGCGCCCAACGACTCTCGTTGTTGTCTCCTCGCGTATATCTTCTCGCAGGCAAAGCTTGATGGATCGGCATGCCTTCTGTCCATCGTCGCATCGCATCGCTCCGCATGTTCATCTGGCTCACGCCATGATACCCTCTGGTATCTTTTGACGCGCCTCAAACGTCCTCACCTCCTCTCCGCTCCGCATGTTCGTATTGCTTGCTCACGCCATCATACCTTCTGGTGTCATTGATTGACCTTACCTCACATCTCCCACTCTCGCGCTCTCAACCCCCATTCCTCCCGCACTCCTGTTCCCCAACCCGCGGTTGTGTTCCACCCTGCCCCCATTCCCACCACCAGGGCAGCACAGCAGCGCGCCTGGTGTCGCTGGCGGGGGTGCGAGGCACAGCCTTGGCGGCAGGGCTGTCTGTGAAGGCGCTGTGGGTGCTTGACGCCAGCTTCATGCTAGACGCCCGCCACGTGCACGCTGCCTCCTCCTTCTCTTCGCTCTTCGCTCTGCATTATGACCAAAGGTACCCTGTACACATGCACATGCACATGCATGCACATGCACATGCACATGCACATGCACAGGCATGCACATGCACATGCAGATGCACAGGCATGCACATGCACATGCACAGGCATGCACATGCAGATGCACAGGCATTCACATGCACACGCACATGCATAAGCACATGCATAAGCACATGCACATGCACATGCACATGCACATGGACACACACGCACAGTACACGCACAGTACACGCACATGCATACGCACATGCTCCATGGTTAGTGCTCAAAAGGCCAGATCCCTCATCTTTTCATGCTTGCTGATTCTGGTGGTCCTAAATCCTCCCTGCTGCTGCTGCTGCTGCTGCTGCCGCCGCTGCTACCGCCGCCGTTACCGCTGCTGCTGCGCTCTTGTTGTATGTTTGCTGCGGCCCTGTTCTCACCCTTGCTAGATTCTCTGTGGACGATGTGACAACAGCATGTGTGGCCGACCTGCTGGAACACAACTTTTGAGGCGCCTCAAAAGTCGTCATCTGCGCCCCTAATCGCACCAACCTTGCCAGGTTTTCTGTGGACGATGTGACAACAGCATGTGTGGCCGACCTGCTGGAACAGGCGCCGCAGGAACTCACGGTTTCGTACAGAGAGGTGGGTGGGTTACCTTTTTTCCTGAGCAGGAAAATGGTATCTGCCCCTTCATACAGGAAATTGAGGAGACTGTGGTTTGTCCTTGCAAACAGAGCAGTGATGGGCCACTTGATTGATACAAAAGATGATTTTTGCGGCGCCGAAAAAGTCGTCGCAGTTCACGCGGATTTTGAGGCGCCTCAGAAATTGAGGAGACTGTGGTTTGTCCTTGCAAACACAATAGTGATGTGCCACTTGATACAAAGAGGTGAGTTGTGTAATCAGTGTGTGACAGCATCCCCCCTACCTTCCCCTGGCCACTCATTCCATCCTACCCCTTTCCACCACCACTTGTAGCTCATTTCAACCTATCTACCTATATGTGTGCCCCAAGTTTCGGGTTTAGGGTTTACAACCCGAACCAACTGCGTGCGCCCCTCCGCTTCCCGCTTCCTCGCAACAACACAGGTGTGCGTCGGCGAGTGCAGCAGCAGCGCACGCCAAGCCGCAGGTTGCGGTGTTGCGAGCGGGAGCAGAAATTGGAGCGGGCAGGGGAGCGGGAGCGGGAACAGGAGCGAGGAGGGGAATGGGAACGGCAACGGCATGTTCGTGCGAATGCTGCTGTCTGAACATGCGCGGGCATCACTAGGAGGGGTATGTGACGTGTGGTGTGTGCGGCAGGGAGGGGTGTGTGGTGTGTGGGGCAGGGAGAGAGAGGAAGTATGAGTGCAGCTGTGTCCTTCCTTGTCGCTCCCTCCAACACTCCTCCAACCCAACCTCACACACTTGTCCTTGAAATTGAAGTGTATTTTTTCTAATGTCTCACCTTCCCTCCCCCTTCTCCCCCTCGCTCCCCTCCCCCCCCCCCCCCCAACACCTTCCCCACCCCCCCTGTCCCCTCTCCCCTGCTCCCCCTCCCCCCCTCGCAAACCCATCTTGTTAACATTTTATTTCTAAAAGTTCCTCACTTCTTCCGCTCCCCACCTCTCCTCCCACCGCAGGCCCACCTCTGCTGGTCCGCTGCTGAGCTGGCTTCCAGCCTGCAGGCGCTGCGTCCAACTCAGCGCATCCTCCGCCAGCTGGCAGCAGAGGACCTGCCACGTGTGCAGCAATCCACAGCAGTGTTCCTAGAGGTGGGCAGATGTGTATCCCGTAGGAAGTACCTCCCTCTTAGCTAAAAGTGTTGCTAATATTGGCACCAGAGCTTGCTGTGGTTCGAACCCTTCTATTCCTCTCTGTATCCTGTAGGAAGGAAGTACCTCCCGCCTTCCTCGCCTTTACCTTTAGAATCACCCACTTCAACCGTGAAAGCCTTTCGCTATTATCACTCGGTCGCTGCAGTCATTCAGCTCAGTGGGTATCCTTCGCTGTAGTCACTCAGACTGATGCACCACTCTGCCACATGGGCTTTAAGCAGCCTAGTGTTTTTTAGAATTTTCAAAAACACTATGCAACTTCAGCAGCCTCACCTTTCCTGCCTGCCTATCCCCCTCCCAACCACCCCCCCCCCCCCCCCCCCTTCTCTCCCCCCATCTCCCCATCTCCCCCCCCCTCCCTCCCTTCCCTCATCAGAACACACCTCTAGACTCCTGCCCTGGCTGCCCTGCCAACCTCTCGCTCCTCATCCCCCCCTCCTGCTCCAACTGCCACACCCTCCCCTTCTCCCATTCCCTCTCCTCCCCACTTCCCCCATCAGGATACCCCTCTGGACTCCTGCCCCGGCTGCCCAGCCAACCTCTCCCTCCTCGTCCCCCCCTCCTGCACCAACTGCCACACGCTCCCCTTCTCCCACTCCCTCTCCTCCTGCGCCGCCCGCCGCATCGCCTACGCCGCCCTGCGCCGCCCGGACCGCGACTTCACTGTGGCTGCTACAGTGCCGTCTGCCGCCCAGGCTGTGGCCGGCATGTTCCACGAGTCACGGGCACCGCTGGTGCTGCAGGCAACGCGGAAGAGGGGGGAGTTGGGGTGCGGAGCAGGGGCATGGTGGGGGGGATGGGCGGGGGGGAGTGTCTGGGGAGAGGGTGGGGGCGCGGGGGGCATCTGGGGAGGGATTGGGAGGGGAAGAGGGGGGAAGAAGTGGGGGAGGAGGAGTGGGTGGTGGAGCGGTGTGCTAGGGGCGGGGCAATGGGGGAGGAGCGACTTAAGGAGTGGCGGAATGGAGAGTTGGTGGGGGTGGAAGTGGGTGGTTGGAGGACGAGGAAGAAGGGAGCTGTGTGCTCAACTGGAGGTATGTGCCTTCTCAACTGGTGAAACTGTGGTGGGATGGATGGGTGTGACACGGATGGAGTTCTATTAGAAATCTACCCAAAGGTCAATCGCAATTCAATGAGCGAATGCACCCCTTCAACACCCCACCCCACCTCACCCCACCCCATCCCGCCCCGCCCCACACCAACCCCTCAGATCGTGGAGTTTCTCGCTCTGGCCCACGCGCCCTCGCTCGTCTTTGCCCTCCACGATTCCCCCGAGGCCCGCCTGCTCACGGCCTTGGCTGCTGCTGCCAGGGGTCCCCTCGGCCTCCCCCCTGCTGCGGTGGAGCCTGCTGTCTGCCCCTCGCCCATGCTGCCGCCCCTGGCCTCCCTGCGGTTTGCACAGCAGATGATCATGGACGGTGAGAGATGGACGGTGAGAGATGGACGGTGAGAGATGGACGGTGAGAGATGGACGGTGAGAGATGGACGGTGAGAGATGGACGGTGAGAGATGGACGGTGAGAGATGGACGGTGAGAGATGGACGGTGAGAGATGGACGGTGAGAGATGGGCGGTGAGAGATGGGCGGTGAGAGATGGACGGTGAGAGATGGGCGGTGAGAGATGGGCGGTGAGAGATGGGCGGTGAGAGATGGGCAGTGAGAGATGGACGGTGAGAGATGGGCGGTGAGAGATGGACGGTGAGAGATGGACGGTAAGAGATGGACGGTAAGAGATGCACGGTGGGAGATGGACGGTGGGAGATGCACGGTGGGACCTTTGAAACGTTTCTTATGTCCCTGTGGTTTCCCATGTTGTTCCCAAGTATTGAAATCTCACAAAAGTTGTGATTCTCATGGAACGTTCAGTCCAACGTATCTTTGTCCCCAGATCCCAATGCTCTTCCTTTGAAAGCGGTTCAAAAGCATGTATTTCACGTGGATATGACTTTCCATTCAGAGCTGCTGGATAAGGCTAGAACACACGAACTTTCCCATTCCCTCCCGTTTCAACCCCCATCCCCCTACCCCTCCCCGCCATTATCCCGCCATCCTCACCCCCCCTGGCAGAGAAGCTCGGGGTGATGTTCTGTCAGATTCAGAAGGTGGCGTCAACGAGCTGGAAGATGTGGATGCGCAGCGAGCGGGGCTTGCAGCACATCGCCTTCTACTTCCACCCCTCCCTCACAGCCGCCTGCCTTCCCCTCTCCCCCGTTCCCCTTCCCCCCACCCCACCCCCACTTCCCCGCATCCCCGCCTCCCCTCATCCCCCCATGTCTCCTGCCCCCCCCCCCCCCCCCCGTGGCAGAAAAACTCGGGGTGATGTACTGCCAGATTCAGAAAGTGGCGTCAACGAGCTGGAAGATGTGGATGCGCAGCGAGCGGGGCTTTAAGCACATCACATCCTACTTCCACACGCACCACGCGGGCGTGAACGGGCTCACGCTCATGGGGCGAGAGATGGGCGAGGACGACGTGATGTTCCACATGACGCGGCGCGACCTGTTGAAGGTGGCGTTTGTGCGCCACCCGCTGCCGCGCCTGCTGTCGGCGCACGGGGACAAGCTGGCTAATGGCGGGGAGAGCCGCAACGTCAGCATGTGGAACGAGGTGGGTTGCTGCTGTGCTGCTTGTGTGGGTTGCTGCGCTGCTGGTAAGGGGGGATAGGCGTGAACGGGCTGATGCTCAATTGGCGCGAGATGGGCGAGGACGATGTGATGTTCCACATGACGCGGCGCGACCTGGTGAAGGTGGTGTTTGTGCGCCACCCGCTGCCGCGCCTGCTGTCCGCGCACGGGGACAAGCTGGCTAACGGCGGGGAGAGCCGCAACGTCAGCCTGTGGAACGAGGTGGGTTGATGTGATGTCTATGATTTTTTAAACTCGCTCACATGGTGAAGGTGGTGTTTGTACACCACCTGCTGCCACGGTTGCTGTCCGCGCACGGGGATAAGCTGGCTAATGGCGGGGAGAGTCGCAACGTCAGCATGTGGAATGAGGTGGGTTTCTGGGTTGCCGCTTTGCTTGAACGGGTTGCTGCGCTGGTTAGATCGGGTGGCTTACGGTGCTGGTGGTGAGGGGAATCGAGATGAGGTGCCATGTCAGCATGTGGAACGAGGTGGGTTGCTGCTGTACGGGTTGCTGCGCTGGAGGTGTAGGGGATGGAGAGGAGGGGAGGGGGAGGTGCCCCGTCGGTACGCATTCTGATATTGCATCGGATGCTTGTCCGAATCTCTTAGTTCAAGCCAATGCATGAGACAAGCTGGTTTTGGGAAATTTCAAGAACCAATCTGTCCAATCTGTGTTTGAACCAATGCATGATTGTCCAGTGTGTGTGACCGCGTCGAAAGACCGCCTGCGTACGCCTTGACGCCTCTCTCCTTGTGATTACCGTGCCGTGCAGCTGTTGTTGGGCCATGACCGCTTGAAGCGTCACGGGTTCGCGGTGAACAGCACTGTGAGCTTCAAAAATTCGGCTCGCTTGGTGGCAGAGATTCTCCGAGAAACGGGCGGTAATGGGGATAAACATATTGCCACACAGGTAAGAAAGCAGACTTAGCGTACGTGACCGCATGTGACTGTACTGGACCGCATGGGACCATATGGGACCTATAGCTTTCATCATCTATCATGAAGCCTACTGTCAGACCAGAGTCGCTTTTGAAAAGTAAGAACAGACTTGAAGCTACTGTCCAGTGCAACATGTAATATTTTAACGCTGCTGCTTTGTTGGTATCAAATCTCTACCATTGAGTCTGCAGCTGGGATGTGGCTTTGCTGGCTAAGGGACGGTACACGTTCTTGTGATAATTCCTCGGTTGGTTACGCCACTTTTCTTCTCATTCTTTCTTTTTTCTTTTCTTCAAATTTGTTATCCTTCCTTTACATAATGGTGTGATTTCCCTTTCCATGTGTCCCCTGTCGCTTGTTTCAATCTGCGCGCAGACACAGCTGTGCGGACTGGACATAATCAAATACGACATTGCTGGCAAATATGAAACCCTGCAAGAGGATATGCTGCGGGTGGTGACGCGGCTGAACCGGTCGACGGAAAACGCAATGAAGATCTTCAAGCTGGGTTCGAAGTTCCACAAGACAAGGGCGGAGCAGCGCATGCGTGCGGCGTATGATCAGGTATGCAGCTTTGCTGTTCATCTCTTAGCAGTGAGTTGGTACAGTGCGTACATGCTTTTCCCTTCCTTTTGGATCATCTGAAGTAGTAGCAAACATGTTTGGTAACTCTTGCCTTTGTGCCCACTGATGGTCTTTTGCTGTCCCTTTAATGCTCCCCCTCACTGTCATGTCATGTCTCAGGACACTATCAAGATTGTGGAGTCAGCATATGCTGCTGATTTTGATATTGCATTGAATAATATTAGCTATAGTGTTCCTGATGTTCTTCAAGATATTGTAGGAGTAGCTGATGCTCCTGCGGAAGTAAATGTACGAGATGTCATTTGAGTTGAGGGTGATTGATAGTCATCAATTTATGGTATCAATGCTTGTGTACACTCTTTAACAACACAGTGAGGGGGCTTATGAATATGTCGGTGAGATGAACGAAGACACAGGAAGTGCAATACACACTATTTAGCTCACACATGGCACACACACACCCTGGCACTCACTCGTGCATGCATGCACTTACCCCAAGGAAAAAGCTTCAACTTTATGTTTTTTAGTATGCAATGGATGCAACGGGGTAGTAAGTGTATTGTGATGTCCCAGGGCCTGAAGGCCCGAAGCCAAGGAAACCTATCATTCTTCACAGGGTCAAAGACGATATGATTGTTTCACAAAAGGGTTGAATGCGATTTGATTGATATCCTGGTGTTCCTTGAATGCAGTTAGTAAGCGGATTGAGTGATGCTACTTGAATCCTAAAGCTGGGCAATTATGGAAGCTCCATCAAAAGCCTAACCTTACTAGTTCCGAGAATAAAGACGTCCATAGCATATCTCCCCGATGATGCGCATTTGATTTCTGCAAAGCCCCCGCCGCCCTACCGTGTATGTCGTTCCGCATATGCGCCATCTAAAGCCCGTCTATCTAGGTTACAGACGTTGACGTTCAGCTGGCGAGTTCTCCGGCGTTGGCGTCAACCTGAAAGATAATGGGAACCAGGAGCAGAGGACCGTTGCCAGTAGGTCGTCACCACGAATTGTGAACTTTCGCCATCATGGCTCATAGGTTATCGTCTTCGACATTTCCGTAATTTGACTAGGTCGCAGCCGCGTTGGTCGCAGCTACGTTGGTCGCAGCTACGTTGGTCGCAGCCGCGTGAGGTCGCGGACTGGGCCGGGCCGCATCTTGATTTATAGAACGGCCTAATTCCCAGTCTGACTCAGCCGCGTGTCAGTCTGACTCAGCCACCCTTCAGTGTGACTCAGCGACGACTCTGTCCGACTCAGACACCCCTCAATCTGACTCATTCACATCTCTCTCCACGTCACATGACAGCGGCTAGGGTTCCCTCCAATTTCTCCTATGTACTCGGCAACACCAGGGTCGGGCCTACCGGTTACAGGGGCCGTTGGCGGGAGAACAGGGACAGGATTACCCGTTACAGGGTTACCAGGCGGAGTTACTGGGGGCAGCGGCACTGGAAGCAGCAGCACCACCAGCACCAGCAGCGGCATCACCGGAGGTAGCGCCGCGTTTGCCGCTCCCTCCTCGTCCCTGCACCTCTCCCCGCCTTTCCCGCGCCTTGCTGCCTCTGCGGCCGTCGCCAGCACTACCATCAGCATCACCACTGGCACCGGCGGCGGCGGCGGCGGCGCGACCAGCTCTTCTTCAGCAGTCGAGGACCAAGGCGGCGGAACCGCGACAGTTGCGTCGGGTTTCTCCCCGCATGTCTTTAACATCCCGTCGGGCGGCGCGGCGGTGGGCGGAGGGACGTCCACGTGGCTGCAGGCCGACCATCCACATCACCACCAGGTGCTGATCCCGTCCGCGGCGCACAAGCGCGCCACGTTCGTCTCGTCCGAAGGCGCGCAGCTCGCGGGCGGAATAAGCGGCGGAAGTGGCGGCGGGATAGGCGGCGCGAGAGCCGGAATAGGCGGATTGAATATAGGCGGGGTGAATCTAGGGCCCCCCGTTTCGTCGCCCACCCCGGAAGTAATCACAATCACGGTCCCGCCCGCATGGGACGATCACCCCGCTACAGCGTCCTCTTCCGGGATTGGTCGGCCAGGGCAGCAAACCCTAGAACGCGAGCAGCCAATCCCAGCGCAGAGCTCGCGACCGTTACCTGAAGGGCGGGCGAAGGAACCCAAAGAGAAAGACGAGAAGGCGGAGGAGGATTGGCGGAGAGGGCGAGTGAAGATCCCACCACACGATTACAGCCACGTGTCAGCAGCGTCCCAGGGGCTGTACGCGTTTGTAGAGGGACTCGGTAAGCTACCGGGACGAGCTATACATGCTATAGAGACGACGTTAGGGTTTCAGTTTTGGGGGGCTAGAAGAGGAGGCAGCAAAGGGGGAGGAGCGTCAGGTTCCAAGAGACCAGGATTTCGACGAATTGGCTCCATCCCCAAATCCCCAACAATAACGAAAAACATAGGCAGCTTGACATCCCTAGCAGAAGCAGCCGCGTTATCGTCGCTCCCGGACCCCTCTATAACGAGTACACCACCATCATCAGCAACGGCAGCAGCTGCAGCAGCAGCTACACACTCAATCTCAACCTTCTGGGAGAACCACCATAGAGTGGACATTCAAACCCTAAGCGCCATGCTCTTTTTCGCCCTCGTCTTGATCCTCTGGCACCTGCGGGGCTTCAGATTCCTCTCAGTCTTCTACTGGTTTCCGCCTGACGAGGAGGATTACGAAACCCCCCCCGGGACCACCTGGGTGGAGCTGGTAGCTCTCTCTATCCTACTCCTCGGCGCTGCTGCTGCTCTGCGCTCCGCCTTCCCCCGTTTCTTTGATCGCCTGGCGCTGCTGCTGCACACCGCGTTCCCCCGCTCGCGGCTGTTGGTTAAGCGGCTGCAGAGAGTGAAACGGGTGGTGGTGAGGGCCGTGGCGGACGGTACTGGGTTTGGCAGGTTGGGAATCGGGTCTGGGCTGGGCCGAGGGGGCGGGGGAGGGGGAGGCGGAGGCGGAGGGGGGAGTATCCTCCCTTCCTGGGCGCATTACTTGCCGTTTGGGGGGCTGGGTGGGGGAGGGGGAGGGGGAGGGGCAGCAGCGGCGGCGGCGGCAGCAGCCGGAGCAGGAATGGGGTATGCGTCTGGCCCTCGGCCGTTCAGGCTAAGAGGGACAGGAGGAACAGGGAACTACTCTGCTCTGGATAAGAAGTTTGCGTCTAGTGGGGGCGGAAGCTGGGAATATCTAGGGTACAATCGTAGTGGCAGGGGGGGAGGGAGAGGGATCAGTAATAATGGTAATGGTGGTGGTGGTGGTGATGATGGTGGTGGTGGCACTGGTGCTGCCGGTGAGAGGGAGAGAGATAGGGAGAGGGACCGGGAGGGTGGTTCGGATAGCGGGGGAGGAGAGGGGTCTTCCACAGCAGCTGCCGGACCTGCCGGTGCGGCGGGTCTTTCGTCTCGTAGCGCCTCCCGAGCGGCATCTGGGTGCGGGATCCACGTGTATGCCAACGGGGACCGGTACGAAGGAGAATTTTACCAGGGCAGATGCTCGGGCAGCGGAGTGTACATTTTTTCGGGCAGCGGGCGGTATGAAGGCGACTGGGTGGACGGAAAATACGATGGGTATGGGATTGAGACTTGGTCGCGGGGGAGTCGGTATCGCGGGCAGTACAGGAAGGGGCTGAGGGAGGGGTATGGGGTGTATAGGTTTTATACCGGGGATGTGTTTGCGGGGATGTGGGCGAAAGGGCAGAGCCATGGGGTGGGAGTGCAGACGTGCGGCGATGGCAGCAAGTATGTGGGCGAGTTTGCATGGGGCGCCAAGCATGGATTCGGCAAGTACACCTTCAGGTGAGAGAATAGTTTGAGATGTGCAGATGCCTTGTGAATAGACTTGTAGATTTGCTGCTGTTGCAGCTGTGGCCACTTTTGGATTTCAGCTATGGCCACTTTTAGTCGGCAGCTATGGCCACCTTCACTTTGCGAGCAGCGGCACCTTGCATGCAGCTGCACGGCTGTTCGTACGCTCTTTGCCTCATACGGCTGTGGCGTGTGTTGCTTGAGCAACAAGCACCAGTACGAGGGCAAAAGACACTCCCCTCTTCTCCCTCTTCACCAACCAACCTTCCCCTCACCACCAGGAACGGCAACACCTAGGCGGGGAAGAATACTCTGCAGACTGCATGCATGGGTACGGCGTGTACGAGTTTAGCAACCCTCCCAACGGGCACCGGTCCGAAACCATCCTCTCTTCTCCCATTCACCCACCCCTCCCAACCACGAACGGCGACACATACTCAGGAGAGTACTTCGCTGACCGCATCCATGGGTACGGCGTGTACGAGTTCAGCAATGGGCATCGGTACGAGGTCAGGCAGGCATGCCACTATGGTCTCTCACCTCATTCCCCAAACCACCCCCCCTTCCACCCATCAGGAACGGCGACACGTACGCAGGGGAGTACTTTGCCGACCGCATGCACGGGTACGGGGTGTATGAGTTCAGCAACGGGCACCGGTACGAGGGCGCGTGGCACGAGGGGCGCAAGCAGGGCCTGGGCATGTACACCTTCCGCAACGGCGACATGCGCGCCGGCTACTGGCACCTCGGCGCCCTCGAGACCCGCAGCACCAACACCCTCCCGGCCTCGCCCACTGGGAGTGGGCCGGGTGGAGGGACGCTGGGGGGTGGAGCTGGTGCGGGGGTTGGGGGTGGTGGGAGTGTTGGGGTTGGGGGTGCGGGCGGGGTGGGTGGTGGTGGTGGGGAGAGTGGGACCGGGGGAGCGGCTGGTGCGTTGGGTGGTGGGGCAGGGCCAGGGACAGGGGGAGGAGCGGGGATGGCGGGAGGGGTGGCAGGAGGGCCAGGAGGAGGGCCGGCAGTGTCGGTGGGAGGAGGAGGGGGAGGCAGTGGGTTGGTGTCACCGGTACGGACTCCTTTGTCTGCTGGTGGGATGGGGCTGTCCACGCCACTCACACCACACACACCCCACTCGGCCTCGTCGCCGAACGCTGTCAACCACTCCCGCGTGCTGCATGCCGTTCAGGTGGGTGCTCGTGGTTGCTCGGGTGCCGCATGTCGTTCAGGTAGGCGCTCAGGTGAGTACTCAGGTGGGTGCTCATGTGTTTCTTAGGCACAGCATGTTGTTGCTTCCTTACCGTTTCTCAGAGCACTCCTGCTTCTCCCCTTCTGATCTGGTTTGTATCTCCCAGGAGGCACGCCGGGCAGCAGCAAAGGCGGAGAATGTGCTGAGAGTGGATGACCGGGTGTCTAAGGCAGTGTCTGCAGCAAATCGAGCAGCTGTGGCAGCTCGAGTAGCAGCTGTAAAGGCTAATCAAAGGGGGTCAAATCACTCATGAGTGTATGCTGGAGAATTTTGTCATCAAGAGGTAAAATTACTCATTAAATGCTATTTTGGTGGCGCAGGAGTACCCTGCACTGAACCCATGCATTATGGTGTAGAGATCTATGTGTACTCATGGTTGAGGGAATCCCTCCATTTTGTGCGGGTATGAAAAAAGCAGTGGCAGTATACAGTACATTGATGACTTGAAGAGAATTCCACCAAGGTTTATCTGTGTAACGATGTTCGCGAGCGCCTTGCGGAAACCGAAAATCACGTGAGTTTCGGAACGGAATCTTAGCCTGCCCTCTGCACACCACCAGATTATCCTCAGGCCACAAAAGCATTTGATGTGTACAGTCGCGAACAAGGCTGCTACTGTTCACCACACAAGTTTAATCACCGTGGCAGTCGCGAACAACACCAATGCCACCGCAACAGAGCTACTCCCCCAATCACCTCACAGCAGCGGTCACCACCGCCTAGAGGTTCGTTGAACCTCCTGGAACCGCGATGACCTCCGTCTGAATGGCAGTTGCTTTCCCTCCTGACCCATCCTGCCCGCCGCGCCGCTGCTTCAGTCGACCAATGGTGTCCGAATCTGTGCTGGTCGCTCCTGCCATGGGGTTGACGACGGAAGTTTTTTCGTTGCTGCAGTTGACCTTTCACGTGCATGTACTTGAAGGTGGTTTATTACACCTGAGTTTTCTCATAATCTTTTGATCTGGTCACCGACAATGGTTTAGGGCTGGGAGCTCGTGTATTTCTGTAACGGCATTGCTATATATTTGAATGGGTAACAACAAACCGCCGTTATTTGACAACACTGGACAATTACAAAACTCCACACACCAGTTTGAGTGAAACACCCCAGTTTGACATCCATCCACAAGTCACCTCACCTCACCACCCCTCCTCTGACTGGAGTGGCGTTGCGTGGCGTGGGCCTGTGGGTGGGCAATGCATTTGCCGCCTGTACATCACTGGCATTCTCCTCGTTTTCCTCTCGTCATTCAGCGATCCCATCCCATCCAAGCATCTCGCCCTGCTCAAACCACCCGAACAGCAAACGAGTAGCCTCACAATTCTAGCTGGCATGGCAAGCCCTGGGAAAGTACGTACATGATTGTACGGAGCTAAACGATCTCCTATTTCCCATCCCTCGTCGAATTCCGCCGTTGACTCAAATGCTCAAAATCCTGCAGGCGTAACTCCCAGCATGATCCTGTAAAAACTAGTCTTCTCACGTCGGCTGATTACAAACGGGCTTTTCCAGCTTGGAGCATCTTGTTTGATACTCCTTTCCGACGTAGACAGCGCTTCAAATTCCATTTTCGCATCAACAACGAAACTGTGAGGTCGTTTTTAATTACAGCATCTCCCCTCAATTGAGCGTTACATCGTAGAGATCACATATCGTGGACCATCTTCCTGTTGATGGCACTGTTTTCCGCCTGCAGCGGCTCGGCGCTTCCTTTTTTCCTAGGGCTGGGCTGTGCCACGTGTTCCTGCTCGTTCTGCACGGGCATCGTGCTCGTCACGTGCGGCGACAGCCTCTCCTCGCCGCTCAGCGCCCCTCCCCGAGCACCGCGTGATAGCAAATCGTACGCGACGCGCAATTCCCTTAACGGAGCTTACATCGGAAGCAGCGCCGCATTCGACGGGGGCTCGTCGTTTGGAGGGAGCGATCTCGTTTTTTCAGCAGAACAGGTCAGCCGTCATGATTATGTTCCAGTTCCAGAATTACGCATGTTGCTGCAGGTCTGGAAGCCAGTGGGCGGTATTTGTTTCCGGCGTGCTGGATCACTATCAAACAGGTTCGCGATCTCGCTGAAGAGAAACAAATTTTCGTGAGGTTTCGTCATGGAATCCAGCTCGTCATCCTCACGAGGAGACACGTGGCTGTTTTCTGCCATTCATCGAATTTCTTGTGCCATCGTCGCATGCCGCAACTTTCGAAACTTCTGAATCCGATCTAAACGATCGCTAGCCTCGGGCTTGAATTGTTGCGTCCCTTTCCCATCTCGACCCCCTACCCTCTGTACTCGCTTTCCTCACCCTCCCCTTCTCCCTCCCCTTTTTCCTTCCTCCGTCCCTCCCCTTCGCACCTTACCCTCCACCCCTAACGCACTGTCCTCTTCCCACAGCCGTGGACAGCGGATCAATACGCGGCGTATCTCGCGCGCGCTGCACCGTCAACAAGTCGCATGTCGCGGTTAGCAAGCGATCAACATCATTCCCATTCGTTACGGTCACCAGGCGCTCTCTCCCATTCGCTGGTGTCGCCGGCCTCCTGTGCATCGCCTCTGCACTCGCCGTCGCTCCAAGCGTCGTTGCTGTCGTCGCGGCAATTCCGGTCCTTGTCGAGTTCATGAGCGTGGGGGGCCTACGACGAGGTCAACACACTGACCAGACACACGAGACAGGTACTTGGTCGTAACAGATTTCACTACTACTAACGACACGGATTTGACGTTGGTGAAACTAGCACTGTGTCTCTGAACCTGTTCACTCTCTTCCCATCCACGCTACCCTATAAGACAGCCCTCCCCACCTCTCCCCCATTCCCTGTCCTGCCTCTCCCAAACTCGTGCACACATTGCTCCAAGCCCCCTTGTCAGCGGCTCGCTATTTTTTATTTCTTACGTAAGTTGCTTGACTTACAATGACTTCTGAGCCAGCTATGTCCAATTGTCGCTCCTATGCTCCCAGTGACTACTGGTTTCTAATCATGCACCTTTCTTCTGTCTCTACATTGCTTGCAGGTTACCCCCTTGTCAATCTAGCACACTTGATTGTAGGTTTAACAGCGTGTGAAGTCATATATTTATCAATAATGCTGTATGCTATGGGCATCTCTGTAATCTATACACCAATAATGTCATAATGAAACAAGGAACATGTGAGTGCAACTCTATGAGTCGGTTCCCGATCCCACCGATTTCTGGAAGTCTAACATCCAGAATGAATGTGGTTAGTTACTGTACCCGTGGATTATATATCTGCCACTTGTAGAGACCGTTCACCCCGTTACAATGCTTCAATCAACACAGCCCCTTCGCGGTCCTTCTGTGCAAATCAGAGAGCTTCGGGGCCAACGATATGGGGAGCACACATGACGTTTTCATTGACCGAGGCTCCGCCCTAGCGATCATCTGGAGCCCCCAAACCGAGGCCTGGAGCCTGAGAGGTTGCTTGCTGCCATTCCCTTGGGAACTCCCATGACCCGAACCTCGGGAATCCCCAAGTTTGGTCTATCAGGCATTGGAGTCAGCAATTTCATCCTAGAACTCCTCCCCGCCCGGTAAATAGGCCCATTCACCCTGTGGACATTCCCTTCGCTCCTCCAGCTTCTGCATCTCGCACTCTTGGCACCTTGGAAGCGTGAATGTAAACACCTCCGTCTCCGTGGAAGAAATACATAAATATTTATTACTACGCGCTTTCCCGTTTTGTCTCTCTCTGGCAGAGAGCTTCTTTTCGCTCGTTCGCCTGCGATGTCGCAGGAGCTCGCGAAACCCGTTAGCATTCTGCGCGGTAGTCCGTCGATTTCGCTGCTCACCGTTCCCACCTCGCTCCTCCGCAATGGCAATGTCGCGAGACTCCCTACCAGAGCGCCGCGATCTGTCAGCTCAGTGCGGTCCAGGAGGAGGAACATGAGCGCAAGAGCCCTTCAGGGAAATACACATGGGGTTACTTGGGCGATTCCGTCGCTTCTTGCTGCTTCCGCCCCGTCCTCGTCCTCCTCTTCTCGCCGGCCAACCACAGCCGTCCGTGCGGGCCGTGGGATCAGCCACGTGGACGGCCTGGATCCGGAGGAGTTCAAGAACGCGCGGATCACGGTGACGGACGACGGTATCATTTTTTCCATGGTGGATGATGGGGAGGCAGATGGGGAGGACGAAGTTCCAGAGGGTGTGTGGGAGGGGGAGGAGGGGACAGAGGGGGAGGAGAGGTCGGTTGTGGGTTGGGTGGAAGAGAAGGGAAGGGATGAGGACTGGAGTGCGGAGGAGGAGGAGGAGGAAGAGGAAAGTGGCGGGGAGCAGGCGGCGGCGGGAGTGATGCGGGAGGCGCAGAGGGTGATGGAAGAAGCGGCGAAGCTACTTAGCGTGGCGGAACGACCTGTGGTTGATGTGGCCGTGAGTGACGATGAGGAGGAGGACGTGGGGGAAGCGGAAGAGGATAACGAGGCGGAGGAGGAAGAGGCGGAAGAGGTGGTAGATGAGGGAGAGGCGGAAGAGGAGGAAGAGGCCGAAGGGGAGGCCGTGATGGAAACAGAGGAGCAGGTGGGTGCACAGGACAGCAAGAGGGATGTGAAGGCATCGGAGGAGGAGGAGGCGCTTATTTATGACCCACCACCGCCAGTGGACTTGGGTGTGGGTCTGGAGGGGACGCTTGGCACCACTGCTGCTGATAGCAGCCCCATTGCGGACAGCAGCTATGGTACCGAGGGAGAGCGGAACAGCAGGGGGGAGGTAGAGGCGTTGGAGGAGGCGCCTACTTATGACCCGCCAGCGTCAGTGGACTTGGGTGTGGATATGGAGGTGGCTCTTGGAGACGCTGATGCTGCTGGTAGCAGTCCCGTTGCCGACAGCAGCTACAGTGCTGGGGATGGCTTTGGTGCTGATGTGAGCTCTGTTGGTGATGTGAGCTACGGTGCTGATGTCAGCGATGGTGCTGATGTCAGCTACGATGCTGTTGTCAGCTACGATGCTGATGTCAGCTACGATGCTGATGTCAGCTACGATGCTGATGTCAGCTACAGTGCTGATGTCAGCTACAGTACGGATGTCAGCTACGGTGCTGATGATGCGAGCTATAGCATAGGCAGCAGCTACAGTAATGGCATCAACACCAGCCTCGGCAGCAGCACTTTCGGCAGCAGCAGCACACGTGGTGGCACGGAGGTGGATCTAGAGGAGGAGGAGAGGCGCGTGGCAGAGCGGCTCAAGGCCCTGGCGGGGTTGGCACTGGGGGGAGAAGAGGGAATCGCAGTGAGGGGAGAGGGTTTCGGGTTGGGTGAAGTGAGGAGGGAGGAGGCCGTGGGACGGCAGGAGGCAGAGCAGGCTGAGGAGATGCGCCTGCGAGCAGAAAGTGCAGCGGCTGCTGAAGCAGCACAGCAGCAGAGAGAGGCAGTGGCAGCAGCTGAAGCAGAAGCTGCAGCTGCAGCGGCAGCAGCAGAAGCAGAAGCAGCTGCGGCAGCGGCAGCAGCAGAAGCAGAAGCAGCTGCGGCAGCGGCAGCAGCAGCAGTCGAAGCAGAGGCAGAAGCAGCGGAATCATCATCAGCAGCAGCAGCAGTGGCTGAAGCAGCCGCAGCAGCAGAGAGGGAGAGGGAGTTAGAGGAGGTGGCGAAGGAGAGAGAAGCAGCTGCAAGGGAGATGCAGGAGAGGAGCCGACAGGAGCAGCTGCAGAGGTTAGAGGCAGAGGCAGAGGCACAGGCAGAGGCAGCAGTAGCGAAAGCAGTGGCAGCTGAAGCGGCATCAGCAAGCGCATTGGCCGGAGAAGCAGCAGAAGCAGTAGCATTGGCAGCAGAAGCAGCAGCCTCAGCAGCGGCGTCAGCAGCACAACGGGGGAGGGAGTTAGACAAGGCTGCAGTGAAGGAGAGAGAAGCTGCTGTGAGGGAGATGAGGGGAGGAAATCGCCAGGAGAAGCTACAGGCGCTGCAGGCAGAGCACGAGTTTGTCACAGCTAAAATGTTTTTCTACCCCGAGGCCGGGCAGGTTCGGGCAGGCGAAATTGTGGATATTTTTTTCCACCGCCCGGCGAGCGCGCTGAAGGAGAAGGCTGGGATTTTTGTCGTAGGTGCTTTTAACGAGTGGCAGTGGGAGCCATTTAAGTATGAGCTGAAACCTTCTAACGAGGTGACAAACGACTGGTGGACGTGCAGTGTGACTATACCGAAGGAGGCCTATCAGATGAACTTCGTGTTCCACAGCAGTGATAACGTGTATGAGAACAACGATTGGCGAGATTTCTTCATCTCAGTGGATGGGGGCATGGGGGAGGATGAGTTTGAACGGTTTTTGAACGAGCAGAAGCAGAGGGAGGCGGAGGAGAGGGCAGCAGAGGAGGCGGAGAGGGAGCGGAAGGCAGAGGAGGAGAGACGGGCCGCCCTGCTGCGAGCCCAGCAGGAGGAGGAACGGGCGACGGCCCGAGCCGTGGCTGATGAGGCTCGGGAGAGGCTCGGGCCGGTCTGGGAGAGTGCAGGGGCGGGAGAGGAAGGGGTGTGGCGCGTGGAGGTGAAAGAAGGGGCGGAATGGGGAGGGAAGGTGGCAGGGGAAGGAGGGGGAGTTGAGAGGGGGGTGGTGGTGAGGGTGGAGTATAATAGGGCGGGTAGGCCTCTGGCAGGGGCGGGGGAGGTGTGGCTGCATGCAGGGGTGAATGGGTGGCAGGGCGGCGTGTCTGTTGTGGAGAAACTGGAGCCTGTTACTAATGAGGATGGCGACTGGTGGGGTGTGGAAGGTGCGTGGGCAGTTGTGTGTGGGCATGAGGGTACAGTCAGACAGAGCTCACTGGATGCATGCCAAGCTGCCTGATGCACTCGATTCTCTCTATTCGCCCCTCCCTATTTTCCTCGTCCCATGGATGCAGTCACTCTGCCCTAAGATGCACTGCCGTGCCTCTGGATTTTTGTTGCAGACGGGCTGTTGCTGGCATGTGGGGAAACAACAGCAAAAAAACACTGCTTTCTATTCAACCCTCCCTCTCCCCCCATCCCTCTGATGCTGTCTCTCTTCCTGAGGATACAGTGGCACTTACTGGGTGTTTGCAGATGGGCCGGTGGAGAGAGTGGGCGCGTGGGACAGCAACTGCAGCAAGACCTTTATTACCCTCTCCCTCCTTCCCTATCCCCTCTTATGCAGTCACTCTACCCCAGGACGCAGTGGCGCTCAACTGGGTGTTTGCGGATGGGCTGGTGGGGAAAGGGGGAGTTTGGGACAACAAGTGGCAGGACTTCGCCACCCAAACTGATGTGACTGTTCAACCGTCTCATAACGTCAAACTTCTGCCTTTTGTCTTCTCTCCTCCTCTGTCAAACTCCTCCTTTTCTCTTGGCCACAGTCGCTGCTCCCCAAGACGCAGTGGCGCTCAACTGGGTGTTTGCAGACGGGCCGGTGGGGAAAGCAGGCGCGTGGGACAACAACAGCCGGCAGGACTTTGCTGGGCGGATTGGCAGCGCGGAGAGGATTGAGGCTCTGTTTGAGGGCATGGCGGCTGAGTGCTTGCAACGACTGGAGCAGGAGAGGGAGGATCGGGAGGCAAAAGAGGCTGAGGAGGTAAGTGGAGAGGGGGTTTTGGGGTCGGGGAAGCGTGGAGAGAAGTGAGGCTCTGTGTGAGGAGATGGAGGAAGAGTTTCTGCTGAGTTGGAGCACGAGAGGGGTGTGGGCGGAGGCTGATAGAAGAAGTTGTTTGTTTTGTTTTTGGCCCGGAGGATACGTCGATATGGGGGCAGGCTTGTGGGATGCAGGGTGTTCACTGAATTAACCCTCTGCCTTCTCCTTCCCGTGTCCTCCCTTGTCGTTCACAAACCCTTCGGTCCACAGGCAGCGCGGCGTGCAGAGATCAAGGCAGCCATGAAGGCACGCACCAAGGCAGCTTTCCTGCAGTTCCAGGCGTATGTGTTCTTCACCGAGCCTGCAGAACGGATCCCTATCCTGTCTCCCTTTCCCCCATCGTTCCCTGCAGGCAGCGCGGCGTGCAGAGGTGAAAGCAGCAATGAAAGCACGCACCAAAGCGGCCTTCCTGCAGTCGCAGGCACACGTGTTCTTCACTGAGCCTGCCGAACCAAGAGCAGGAGAGGCAGTGCGCGTGTTCTCATCACAGGACCATCCCTCTGCCTGCTCGTTCCCGTGTCCTCCCCACTTGTCACAAACCCTTCCATCCGTCCATCCATCTGCAGGCAGCCCGGCGGGCAGAGATCAAGGCAGCCATGAGGTTCGCACCAAGGCAGCCTTCCTGCAGTCCCAGGCACACGTGTTCTTCACCAACCCAGCAGCACACGTGTTTTCCCACATCCCACCGCCCTTTTCCCCAATTGCTTCCTGCAGGCAGCGAGGCGGGCAGAGGTGAAAGCAGCAATGAAAGCACGCACCAAAGCGGCCTTCCTGCAGTCGCAGGCACACGTGTTCTTCACTGAGCCTGCCGAACCAAGAGCAGGAGAGGCAGTGCGCATGTTCTCATCACAGGACCATCCCTCTGCCTGCTCGTTCCCGTGTCCTCCCCACTTGTCACAAACCCTTCCATCCGTCTATCCATCTGCAGGCAGCCCGGCGGGCAGAGATCAAGGCAGCCATGAAAGCTCGTACCAAAGCAGCCTTCCTGCAGTCGCAGGCACACGTGTTCTTCACCGAGCCTGCACAGCCAAACCCCATCCCTGCTCCCTTTCCCTCATTCCCTTCCCCCATCACTCTCTGCAGGCAGCCCGGCGTGCAGAGATCAAGGCAGCCATGAAGGCACGCACCAAGGCAGCCTTCCTGCAGTCCCAGGCACACGTGTTCTTTACTGAGCCTGCAGAGCCGAGAGCAGGAGAGGCAGTGCGCGTGTACTACAACCCCAGCGGCACGGCGCTGCAGGGAAGGGAGAAAGTGTGGATGCGCGGGTCGTTCAACCGCTGGACCCACCGCTCGGGGTGCTTCCTGCCCCTTCACATGCTGCCCGCTGACAATGGCACCCACCTCGTTGCTGAAGGTGAGGGGGAAAAGGGGGAAAAGCGGTGGACAGGTGCTGCAGGGCAGGGCAGGGAGCGTGTGTGGATGCCCGGGTCATTCCACCGATGGAACCACTGCTCGGGGTGCTTCCTTCGCCTCCAGGTGCCGCCGGCTGAGAATGGCATGGCACCCAACTCGTGCCCCACGACGCGCCCATAATGGGTCTGGTGTTCATGGACAGCAGCGGCCCCTCTTGCCCCTGGCAGTCCTCCATGCTGCCTAGCCTAGTTACTCCCGCCCATGTCAACCCCCCCTGCCCCCAGTCCTCGTGCCCCACGACGCGTACATAATGGGTATGGTGTTCATGGACAGCGGCGACCCCTCTTGCCTCTCACTATCACCCATGCGTTCCACCGCTGGACCCACTGCTTGGGGTGCTTCCTTCTCTGCGTATTGTGTCCTGTGTGTGCCCTCTTCTCCACCAGTCCTCGTGCCTCAGGATGCGCCCATAATGGGTCTGGTGTTCATGGACAGCAGCAGCCCCTCTTGCCTCTCACAGACCTCCATGCTGCCTAGTTACTCTCTGCTCTCTGCTTCCTGCCTTTTGAGACGTCTCAAAAGTCACCTCCATGCTGCCTAGTTACTCTCTGCTCTCTGCTTCCTGCCTTTTGAGACGTCTCAAAAGTCACCTCCATGCTGCCTAGTTACTCTCTGCTCTCTGCTTCCTGCCTTTTGAGACGTCTCAAAAGTCACCTCCATGCTGCCTAGTTACTCTCTGCTCTCTGCTTCCTGCCCTTTGAGACGTCTCAAAAGTCACCTCCATGCTGCCTAGTTACTCTCTGCTCTCTGCTTCCTGCCTTTTGAGACGTCTCAAAAGTCACCTCCATGCTGCCTAGTTACTCTCTGCTCTCTGCTTCCTGCCTTTTGAGACGTCTCAAAAGTCACCTCCATGCTGCCTAGTTACTCTCTGCTCTCTGCTTCCTGCCTTTTGAGACGTCTCAAAAGTCACCTCCATGCTGCCTAGTTACTCTCTGCTCTCTGCTTCCTGCCTCCACGTATCCATCGGTCCCCGTGCCTCACGACGCATACATATTGGACCTTGTCTTCAAGGACAGCAGTGGCGTGACAACTCTTACCTCTCTTTATCCTCCCTGCTCTGACTGATGTGTCCATGCAACCCCCGCTTCCACCAGTCCTCGTGCCTCAGGATGCGTACATAATGGATCTGGTCTTCATGGACAGCAGCGATCCCTCTACAGCCATGTACCTGTGTGTCTGTGTCTCTGTGTGTCTGTTCATTCACTGTCTACTACTGTGTGCGTGTGTGCATTCCCTCACCCATCAACCCCGCCAGTCCTCGTGCCTCAGGATGCATACATAATGGACCTTGTCTTCATGGACAGCAGCGACCCCACTACAGCAACGTATGACAACCGGGGGGGGCTGGACTACCATGTGCCCGTGGCGGGTAGCACTGCCAGGGAGCCGCCCCTCTACATCGTGCATGTTGCGCTGGAGATGGCACCCGTTGCCAAGGTGAGAAGGAGGGGGGTTGGGTTGGGATAGAGGGAGAGGGGGCTGGACTACCATGTGCCCGTGGCGGGCAGCACTGTGAGGGAGCCGCCCCTGTACATCGTGCATGTGGCTCTTGAAATGGCGCCCGTTGCCAAGGTGAGAAGGAGGGGGGTTGGGTTGGGATAGAGGGAGAGGGGGCTGGACTACCATGTGCCCGTGGCGGGCAGCACTGTGAGGGAGCCGCCCCTGTACATCGTGCATGTGGCTCTTGAAATGGCGCCCGTTGCCAAGGTGAGAAGGAGGGGGATGGGGAGGCTGTTCACGGTCAGGGGAAGAGAGACAGACACCCGCATGCTCTCATGCCCGCATGCGCTCTCGCGCCCTCATGCTCTCATGCCCTCATGCCCACATACCCACATGCCTTCATGCCATCATCCATCCATGCCTCCATGTCATCCTCCCTTCATCCCTCCGCACCGCACCACCAGGTGGGGGGTCTGGGCGATGTGGTGACATCCCTGTCGCGAGCCACGATTGAGCTGGGCCATCGGGTGGAGGTGGTGCTGCCCAAGTACGACTGCCTTAAATATGACCAGGTGAGGCAAGGGTTGGAGCTCGTGGGCTTAGCGAGATCAATCAAGTCAAGGTGTGCTTTGGGTTTATGAGGTGCTGAGTTTAGTGTGACCTGACCTGAAGGAGCTGGGCCACCGCGTGGAGGTGGTGCTGCCCAAGTACGACTGCCTCAAGTATGACCAGGTGAGTCGAGGGATTGAGGCGCTGGGGCTCCGTGAGCTTGAACTATGACTAGGGTGCGAGGAGCAGGATTCAGTGTGCTCTGAAAGAACGCTGGGCCACCGCGTGGAGGTGGTGCTGCTGCCCAAGTACGACTGCTTCAAGTATGACCAGGTGAGTTGACGGTTTGGGATGCTGGGGCTCCGTGAGCTTGAACTACAACTGTGGTTCGAGGTGCAGGATTGAATGAGCTCTGAGGGAGCTGGGTTAACGCGTGGAGGTGGTGCTGCCCAAGTACGACTGCTTCAAGTATGACCAGGTGAGTTGACGGTTTGGGATGCTGGGGCTCCGTGAGCTTGAACTACAACTGTGGTTCGAGGTGCAGGATTGAATGAGCTCTGAGGGAGCTGGGTTAACGCGTGGAGGTGGTGCTGCCCAAGTACGACTGCTTCAAGTATGACCAGGTGAGTTGACGGTTTGGGATGCTGGGGCTCCGTGAGCTTGAACTACAACTGTGGTTCGAGGTGCAGGATTGAATGAGCTCTGAGGGAGCTGGGTTAACGCGTGGAGGTGGTGCTGCCCAAGTACGACTGCTTCAAGTATGACCAGGTGAGTTGACGGTTTGGGATGCTGGGGCTCCGTGAGCTTGAACTACAACTGTGGTTCGAGGTGCAGGATTGAATGAGCTCTGAGGGAGCTGGGTTAACGCGTGGAGGTGGTGCTGCCCAAGTACGACTGCTTCAAGTATGACCAGGTGAGTCACAAGCTCAAATGATCAGGGCTTGCGGTAATTGCTTCAGTGTCCTGTCACCCATGCCGAGCCACAGTGGAGCTGGGCCACCGGGTATGACTGCCCAAATACGACAATCTCAAGTATGACCAGGTGAGTCAAAGGTTTGGGGAGTTGGGGCAGGGGCTTAGCGAGAATGATTGAAGAACAATAGGGATTGATTCGACGTGCTGGGTCTGGTGGTGTGATCCGAGGGGGCTGGGCCACACCGCACAGGGTAAAGGTAGTGCTGCACAAATACTACATACCCATGCTGGGCTGCCTGAAGTACCATCCGTCCAAGTATTTGGGCAGATGGTACCACCTGGTACCACATGGTACCACATGGTACCACATGGTACCACCTGGTACCACATGGTACCACCTGGTACCACATGGTACCACCTGGTACCAGACGGAGTACAACTGCCTGCCTGCCTGAAGTATCACCTGGCGAGTGCACGCCTGTCCACGTGCACTTCCTAGAGCCAGGGGTACAGGGTTCGGAGGCGAGGGGCGACTAGCAGGGGTTCACATTCAGAGGCGTGAGAACCCCGTTTGATTCACACACCCGTGCTGTCCTGTTCCTGTCCTGTTTCGCACCCGCAGGTGCAAGGGCTGGAGGCGAGGGGCGATTTCCTGTGGGGCGGCACGCGGTGGCTGGTGTGGCACGGGCGGGTGGAGGGCATTCCCGTTCACTTCCTGGAGCCAGACAGCGGGTGAGTGCGTAACTCCCTGTCTGAGCTACACAGCAGGTGGGTCGTTGTGTGGTCATCTGGGATTCCCCTTCCTGCCTTGCTGCCTGCTGTGGCACGGCCGGGTGGAGGGCATTCCCGTGCACTTCCTGGAGCCAGACAGCGGGTGAGTGCGTGTGTAGCTCCCTTTTTGAGCTACATGGAAGGGTGAGGCGTCCCCGTGCACTTCCTGAAGCCACACAGCAGGTGGGTCGCTGTCTGGTCGTCTAAGATTCCCCTTCCTGCTTTGTGGCTGTGGCATCCCGGTGCATTCCCTAGTGCCAGAGAGCGGGTGAGTCGCAGCTTGTCTTATTGGGCTTCAGAGCCAAGGTGTGTGAGTGAGGCATCCCTATGCTTCGCAGCCTGAGAGGGGGGTTGAGTCATACCGTTTCCCTTGCATCTTCGATTGGTCATACAAAGGATGCACTATTTCAATTCTGCCCTTTACAAATCTCATGCGATTTTTTATTTCTTTTATTATTTTGTTTCCTGCGCATCCCTCCCAACCCTGTCTGCACGCGTGCAGGTTGTTCTGGGTGGGGTGCATCTACGGCCGCAAGGACGACGCTGCCCGCTTCGGCACCTTCTGCCACGCGGCCCTCGAGTTCCTGCTGCAGACGGGCCGCTCCCCAGTACGTCCCACACCCCATGCCTCACAGGCTGCTCCCCTTTAGTGTGGATGTGATTTTGCAAGCCCTCAAAAACCTCGGCCACGTGGCCCATGAATTCCTGCTGCAGACCAGCTGCTCCCCGGTGCGCCTCACACCCCATGGCTCACAGGCTGCTTCCCTTTAGGGTGATGTGATTTTGCAAGCTCTCAAAAGCCTCTGCCATGCAGCTTCCTGCTGCACACGGGTGGCTACCCGGTACGCCCCACCCCACACCCCATGGCACATAGGCTGCTCCCCCCTGGTAGGGTAGTCTTGAGACTTCTCAAACCCTTTGCCACGCAGCCCTCGAGTTCCTGCTGCAAGCAGGCCACTCGCAGCATGCACTGAACAACATATGGGCGGCTCGTTGCAGTACCTTCTTTCTCTCCCCTCTTTCTCTCTTTCTCCCTCTTGTCACATCCTCGTACTTCTGTAGATCTAAACATCCTCTTCTTCCTCTCCTTATCCCTCCTCTCCCAGGAGATCCTGCATTGCCACGACTGGTCGTCAGCGCCTGTGGCGGCTGCAGAGGGAGTAGTACAGTGGGTACGGGGGGTACAGAGGTTGCACCACAGCCTAACTTCATTCGTCCTGACGTCTCAAAGGTGCCTCTGTTTCTCCGCCTTCCTCCCTGTTCCCCCCTTTCCCCCTTTTTCTCCCCTTTCCCAGGACCTATTGCACTGCCACGACTGGTCGTCAGCGCCAGTGGCATGGCTGCAGAGGGAGCAGTACAGCGGGTACGGGGGGGGCAGTGCAGCCTAGCACCATGCTCCCTTCCACCATCTCCCTCCCCCGTCTCCTGCCCCCATCTTCCTCCATCTCTCAGGACCTCTTGCATTGCCCCGACTGGTCGTCAGCACCAGTGGCATGGCTACAGAGGGAGCAGTACAGTGGGTACCGACGGGAGCAGGGGAGCCTGAACCCTCAAATCGTGTTGTCACATGCCTCAGAGTGTTCTCACCCTCCCTCCCCCCCCTCCTCTCCCTCACCCCCCGCTTTCCCCCCCTCTCTCAGGACCTTTTGCATTGCCACGACTGGTCGTCAGCGTCGGTGGCGTGGCTGCAGAGGGAGCAGTACAGCGGGTACGGGGGGGCCAATGCGCGCACGGTGTTCACCATCCACAACCTGGAGTTCGGGCAGGACATGATTGGCCGCGCCATGGCTGCATGTGACATGGCCACCACTGTGAGTGCTCACTACTAAATGTGTGTGTGTGGACCGCTGGGCGTGCTTGTAAGGAATGTGACTGCATTGAGTGGGCCAACGCACTCACGGTGTTCACCATCCACAACCTGGAGTTCGGCCAGGACATGATCGGCCGCGCCATGGCTGCCTGTGATATGGCCACCACCGTGAGTGCTCTGTGCTGTCTGTGTGTGTGCTGTGTGCAGTGTGTGTGTTCATGTGGACTGGTGAGCAATGCTGGGTGGGGAATGTGACCGCACTAACTGAGTGGGGCAATGCACGCACAGTGTTCACCATCCACAACCTGGAGTTTGGCCAGGACATGATCGGCCGTGCCATGGCTGCCTGCGATATGGCCACCACCGTGAGTGCGCTGTGCTTTGTATGCTCCTGCGTATATGTGTGTCATGTGCATCGGTTTCTTTAGAGCATTGCTGTATGGGATGTGATAGCAATGAGCGTGGGTGAATGGGGGGGGCGATGCTCGTACGGTGTTCACCATTCACAGCCTCGAGTTTGGCCAGGACATGATTGGACGAGCCATGGCTGCCTGCAACATAGCCACCACCGTGAGTGTACTGCAGACCATGCGTGTGTGGTGCTGTTGTGAATGTGTGGCGCTGGGAATGTGTGGGGAATGCGACTCTAAAGAAGGGGGCAATGCATGAGTGCGGTGGGCTATGGATGGATTTTGACTCAATTCCCCGTAACCGCCAACACCCCTCCCTCTTCCTTTCCCTCTCAGGTATCCCCCACATACGCGGCGGAGGTCAGTGGGCATGCAGCAGTGGCGGCACACAGGGCGAACCATCTTCTCATTCCATTCCCCTCTCCTCGTTTCCTCTCTCTCCCCGGCCTTCACAACCCTTCCCCACCCACACCAGGTATCCCCCACATATGCAGCGGAGGTCAGTGGGCATGCAGCAGTGGCAGCGCACAGGGCGAAGTTCCACGGCATTCTGAATGGCATCGACCCCGACCTCTGGGACCCCATGGGGGACCCCTTCCTCCCGGTGAGTGCTGCTGTTAGTGCTGCTGTGCCAGTTGATGCAATGCCTTTTCAGTCGACTCAAAGTTTCAGGCATCCTCAATGGCATCGACCCCGACCTCTGGGACCCCATGGGAGATCCCTTCCTCCCGGTCAGTGCTGCTGCTGTGACATACAATGCAAGGGCTCCTGGTGATACCATGCCCTTCGCATCGTGCTTCTTGTAGCGATTTTTTTAGAATTCTGAAGAATCGCTGACCGCTGGACCCCATTGGGGACCCCTTCCTCCCGGTGAGTGCTGCTGTGCCCCATTTCATGCAATGCCCCCGGTGATGTTCTTATCATGCCATTTAGATCATCCCTTTGAATTCGTGAGATCATCCCTTTTCCTTTTACTTCATGCTGACAATTTGTTTCTTTCCTCTCCCCATCGCCTCCCCCTCCCCAGATGAAATACTCCGCTGTGGAGGTCGTGGAGGGCAAGCAGGCAGCTAAATCAGAGCTCCAAGCGCGCCTCAACCTGCGCTCCTTCTCCCCTTCCGAAGACCGCCCCCTAGTGGGGATAGTGACGCGCCTGACAGCGCAGAAGGGCATGGCACTCATCAAGCTCGCCCTCTTTCCCTTCCCCTCCCTTCCCCTGCTCCTTGTTCCCTATCTTTTCCATCCCCACCCCCTCCCTCCCCATATGAAATACTCCGCTGCAGAGGTCGTGGAGGGCAATCAGGCAGCCAAAGCAGAGCTCCGAGCGCGCCTCAACCTGCGCTCCTTCTCCCCTTCAGAGGACCGGCCCCTGGTGGGGATAGTGACGCGCCTGACAGCGCAGAAGGGCATAGCGCTCATCAAGCACGCACTGTTCCCCTTCCCCCTGCTCCTTGTTTCTTGTTTTCCCCATCCCTACCCTCTCCCCAGATGAAATATTCTTCCGCCGAAGTGGTGGAGGGCAAGCAGGCAGCCAAGGCAGAGCTCCGCGCGCGCCTCAACCTCCGCTCCTTCCCTCCAGCCGAGGACCGTCCCCTCGTGGGGATAGTGACGCGCCTGACAGCGCAGAAGGGCATAGCGCTGATCAAGCATGCCCTGTGGCGCACGTTGGAGAGGGGCGGGCAGGTGGTGCTGCTGGGGTCGGCCCCTGATGGGCGCGTGCAGGGCGAGTTTGAGGCGCTGGCGAGGGACTTAGGGCGGTCGCATGGAGACATGGCTCGGCTGTGGTTGTCTTATGATGAGCCGCTCTCGCACCTGGTGAGTTCACCTCCGCATAGTGAGTGCACCTGATTGTTGCATGTGGTGAGTGCACCTGATGGGTGCGTGTGGTGCTAGGCTGCGTGTGTGTGTGACCATGCGTCGACAATTCGTCTGGCCACCCGCCAGCTCGCCCACTCCCCAACCCTCTCCAGTTCACTTCCCTCCCTCCCCCACCTCTCTCCCTTCTCCCACAGATTTACGCAGCCAGTGACATGATTCTCGTCCCCTCCATCTTTGAGCCGTGCGGGCTGACCCAGCTGGTTGCAATGCGGTACGGAGCGGTACCGGTGGTGCGGAAGACAGGCGGCCTGAGAGACACAGTAATGGACGTGGATAGTGAGGAGGACATGCAGAGAGCAGCAGAGAGGGGCATGGAGCCCAATGGGTTCTCCTTTGAAGGGGCCGATGCTGCTGGCGTTGACTATGCGCTCAACAGGTGATTGCGGTTTAAATGGGTGTTATTCTATTAGGTGGAACTCTATTGGTTGGTTGTGAGTCGACTGGGTGGTATTCTTTTGGGTACGGTTCTAGTGGTTGTAAACATTCCATTGCATGCTGTTGCAGCACACCCACAAGTGGCGCCTCGTTGCAAGTACACCCCTCGTTTTCCCCTTTCCTCACTCCCTGGCCATCAGGGCAATCTCGGGATGGTACGATGGGAAGGAATGGTGGCAGGCAGGGGCTGGCGAGGCAGGTGATGGAGCAGGACTGGAGTGCCGACGCTCGCCCTTGGCATCCCAATGTGCCTCATTGCACCTCATTGCCACTTAGTTGCACCTCAACTTCAATTCCCCTCCCCTCCCCCTCTCTCTCTCCCTCCCCATGCCCATCAGGGCAATCTCGGGGTGGTACGATGGGAGGGAGTGGTGGCAGGGCCTGGCAAGGCGAGTGATGGAGCAGGACTGGACGTGGAACCGCCCTGCTCTCGACTACCTCGAGCTCTATTATGGTGCTCGGAAATAGTCAGTGTGAAGTGGTTTCTGATGCTAGGAGTCTGGACATGCCTCGGCCGGCCCGACTCGAATTGCGCCTGGCAAGGCGGGTGAATGATGGAGCAGGTCTGTACGTGGAAATAAACAGAACTTGTTTATGTTATTGTGCTTGGATTGGACATAAACCATGGATCTTTTATTATCTGTAGTGCTTCTAGCAAACAGTTACGGTGGCTGGCATGATGGTTGTATAAGCAATATAGCATCCTCTTTGTAGTCATAGTCCTAGTCAGTTCCGGTACAAGGAGTATGTAGTATATACGTACACTACATAAGGAGTTGCCGATAGACGTAAACTTGAACACATCATGTCGTTATGTGGTAGGGGGTAAATACATATATTTTGCTGCTTGTGTTTGCAGGGTAACACAGGATTTTCTACGATTATACTGTATACTGCACTAATGTCTATGGTGCTTTGAAGTTAGTGTTGCCAAGCACACATAGCACAATCACTGCAGATACGGACGTACCTTTCGCAACTAGTGTAACGAGCCAGGTACAGCATTCAGCACACCTGCAGCAATCTTCCAGAACCTCATGAAGATACACTCTTTTATGGGATACAGTACATCAATACAGTTGTCTCTCACGAAAAAAAAGCATCCCAACTTCGATTCACGTGCCTGTGGAGAATTTCCTGTCCGCTGACTAGCTGAAGGATTATATTTCATCCTCCATGCGAAGATATTCACCTGCAACAGTTGGTGGATATGGGGGTGTGGAAGGAAACGGCAAACATGCGGAGTGCGAGGTGAGGCAAGGGGGAGTGGGCAGGGTAGGGGGGTTGAGGGGGAGGGGAGGGGGGGGGGGGGGGGGGGAGGAAGAGTTCGCAGGGCAGCAGGATGCAATTCTTGTAAATTCATGCACAGCAGCGACAAGAATTGACGTGATACACACAGCAGCGCAGCAGTGTGGTGCGGTGCGGTGTGGTATGGTGTGGTGCGGGGACTTTTCCCTCTTGCATCAACAAACGCCTCAATGTGAAATCAGTGTTCGCTGCACTTGTGAGATCCGGATGAGCCCCACCTGCACCTGCTGGACCTCCACCAGGTGCACCTCACCTCCACCAGGTGCACCTCACCTCCACCAGGAACGTGGTGAGGTGTGTCACGTGTGGACTTGGCTGTATCTACGAGCCCCACCTGTGTCGGCCTCGTGGAAGACAACGATGGCGTTGGGGTCGAGTTTCCGGCACTCCTGTGTGGACTTGGCTGCAGTGTGGTGCGGTGTGGTGCAGTGACCTCTCACTCTCACATCAACACCTACACCTGCTGCAGCAAGCAATCAGAGCCCCACCTGTGTCGGCCTGGTGGAACACAACAATGGCGTTGGGGTCGAGTTTCCGGCACTCCTGTGTGGACTTGGCTGCAGTGTGGTGCGGTGTGGTGCAGTGACCTCTCACTCTCACATCAACACCTACACCTGCTGCAGCAAGCAATCAGAGCCCCACCTGTGTCGGCCTGGTGGAACACAACAATGGCGTTGGGGTCGAGTTTCCGGCACTCCTGTGTGGACTTGGCTGCAGTGTGGTGCGGTGTGGTGCAGTGACCTCTCACTCTCACATCAACACCTACACCTGCTGCAGCAAGCAATCAGAGCCCCACCTGTGTCGGCCTGGTGGAACACAACAATGGCGTTGGGGTCGAGTTTCCGGCACTCCTGTGTGGACTTGGCTGCAATGTGGTGCGGTGTGGTGCAGTGACCTCTCACTCTCACATCAACACCTACACCTGCTGCAGCAAGCAATCAGAGCCCCACCTGTGTCGGCCTGGTGGAACACAACAATGGCGTTGGGGTCGAGTTTCCGGCACTCCTGAGTCGACTTGGCCGCCACGCCAAAGCCCAGCGGAACGTCTGACATCGATAGCACCACCACGCCCTGCCGTGTGATGAAGGGGGAGGAGAGTTGGGGAGGGGGGAGAGAAGGGGGAGAAGTGGGAGGGCAGTTGGGGGTTTGAGTTGCGGTGGCACGTGGAAGCCCAGCGGCACGTCTGACATGGATAGCACCACCACGCCCTGCCGTGTGATGAAGGGGGAGGAGAGAGGAGGGAGATGGGGGAAGGCAGATGTAGGCTGAGTGGCAGCGGCCCTCGGCTTCCATCGAGTGGCACTCCTGAGTCGACTTGGCTGCCACGCCAAAGCCCAGCGGCCCATCTGACATCGATAGCCATAGCACCACCACGCCCTGCCATGGGGGGTGGTATGGTGGAGGGGGGAGGAATGGACGGGGGAGAGGAGGGGAGAGGGGGGTTGCGTAGGGGGGCCGGAGGAGGGAGTCTGGCTATGAGGTTCGGTTCTGCCCAAGACACACACCTAGACCCATCCCCACACCACACTGAAACTAGAAACCCAAGCCCCACCCTACCGTAACCCAGCCCACCGACCTGGTTTTGCTGCGTGCTCTCTGTGATTCTCCCCAGCCCGCTCTTGACTGCCCGCCTCAAGACACACATAGCCCCATACCTGCACCAAAATCCCACACCCGAGCCACAACCTATTTCATCTCCCAGCCTGCCCACCAACCTGGTTCTGCTGCGTGCTCTCGGTGATTCTCCCGAGCCCGCTCTTGAGCACGTGATTGCCGTAGAGGAATGACATCTCCGCTGCTGGCTTCACCCACACCTGGGGGGGGGGAAGGAGGGGAAAGCAGGGGAGAAGAAGGGGGGGTGGGTGAAAGAAGAAAAAGGAGTGGCCTGATGATTGCCGTACAGGAAGGACATCTCCGCTGCTGGCTTCACCCACACCTGGCGGAGGGAAGGAGGGGGGGGGTGGACAGGAGAAGCAGAGGAAGGGAGGATGCCGAGGGGGACAATGCTGATGGGTGATTGCCTTGCCGTACAGGAGTGACATCTGCAGGGGGACGTGGGTGCACGAGGAAAACAGGGTGTTGAGGGGTGGGTGGTTTGGATAGATGGCGAAGAGAGGTGCAGAGAGGTGCAGGGAGGTGCAGGGAGGTGCCCGATGATTGGCGTCGAGGGTTACTATCCCCACTGCTAGCACTACCCACCCACTCCCCATGGAGGGGAGAGGAGGGGAGGGGAGGGAGGAGCATGAGATGGGAAGGCGAAGAGAGAATTACGATGCATGATAGCAGCCGGCCAACTAGCAAAAAGAGAAATTTGGCAATGAGTGTTCAGGTCAGGTCAGGTTAGGTCAAGCCATGCCCAGCCAGCCCACACGCGCACCTTGCACTTGGCGTATGCTGCAAGCAGGTCGAGCGCCGTGACTGTGAGGCGGAAGCTGCCCGACTTGGTGAACTTGCCGATGCACGTTCCCAGTGACGCCAGGTGGTCTCGTGATACACTCGTGGCTCTCCGCATGATGGCCTGATGGGTGGAGAGGCGTGTGAGAGGTGGGAGCACTGGTAAGCATGGTTCAAGCAAGGGTTAACTTGCCAATGCACGTGCCCAGCAATGCCAGGTGATCGACCGATACACTCGTGGGTCTCCGCATGATGGCCTGATGGGTGGAGAGGGGTAGCGTGAGACAGGTGGGAGATCATGCTGCAAGCTTCAAGTTTAGAGCTTTTGGGTTTCAGGGTTTTGTCAACACGCTATCTCAAATGCTGCAACCGCTCTGCAAACCTCTCAAACCACTTGTCAAACCCTTGTAAAACCTCCGTTCAGCCCTGGCCCTCCCGCCTCTGAAAGCCCCAGACAGCAACCCTCAGTAACCCCCGGTAACCCCAGGCAACCCTCAGTAAACCTTCGAACCCCCCCCCAACCCTAACCTCTAGTGCACCTCGCTGATGTGTAACAAGCGCTGCTTCTGCAGTAACTTTCACTAACCTTCAGAAACTTTCGGTAATCCCCGGTAACTCCATTAAATCCCATGAATTCTGCCCACCCACCTCGCTGACATAGTACACGCGCTGCTTCTGCAGTCTCAGGCAGTACCCGCCCGTGGCACCGCCCGGCTCTTCCGGCGCTTTCCGCTCGATGAGGTGTTTGATGTTGCTGCCGATGAACTTGTGCAGCTTCTCAAACACCGCCCGAAACCTTAAACCCTGTAAACCTCCCGTAACCCCCCGAAGCCACCCACCTCACTGACGTAATACACGCGTTGTTTTTGCAGTCTCAGGCAGTAACCCCCGGTGGCACCCCCAGGCCCTTCAGGCGCTTTGCGTTCGATGAGGTGCTTGATGTTGCTGCCGATGAACTTGTGCAATTTCTCAAACACCGCTTGCGTCTCCTTCTCGTCCAACGGCCGCATCGTCGCTCGTTATTGAGCGAGCGCCGACTGTGTGACTATAACGGGTGTGCGCTTCTGTATGTGTGACTATAACGCGTCGCGGTACCCGTTTTTTGTGTGTGCGTAAGTAGCAAGAGTGTTGTCGAAACTAGCCGCAGGGAAAAGGAATGGCGTCAAAGGGAAGTTTTCGCTTTCACAAAAATGCTGCTAGGCAAACGTTAAAATCCGTTTCGAAATGTACAAGCATCGAAGGCTTCCCCCCTAAATACTAATGCTTTCGAGCAGGCGTAGCTATGGGACCTATGAAATCCGCTGCGAAATATATGCTTTCTCTGGAAAAGCCTTAGGAGAGTTCTGCAGGAGTTACTGGGAGGGTGTGATGATATGTGCTGCTTTGTAATTGTCTCCGTTTGTGCATAGAATTAACAAGAACGTCGAGTAGAGTTAACATGACTATTTGATTGACTCAGGCTCAGAGCATTTTTGTAGCGAATCTATTGCAAACGCGTTACAGAACTTCTGAGGGCGCGTCCCCTCCCTCGATCGATCCTGCCCTCGATCGATCGAGGGACAGCTACAGTGTCGCAGTTGACAGGGTAACCTGATTTCGAGATGGTTTGCGAATGTACAGTAACTGGTGCCCAACGATCTTGTCAACTCTGCTGATGACATGGTTCATGCGCGCAACCATGCTAGAGAACATTTTATGTTATTTACAGCTTTAGAACACTGCGCATCATATTTAACTTCATGAAGCTTGGGGCAGCTTCGCGTTGGCGGCTTTTGAGCCTTCAATTTCTCGCTGCAACAGGCTGAGATCCAGCATTACACAGGAAGAGTATCCATGGCTAGCCAATTTGCACAGAAATATTAGGTTATCATGACTTCTTAGCTTCTGGTTTTCGTATAACCTGGTCAATCTGTGTATAAGCTTGTGATGTCTTAGATATGGTGCAGTACTGGTAGTTAGTAGTAGAACGCAAGCTAGCAAAGAACACATCATATTTCATGAATACTTTGTCAGCAGGCGCATACAGTCGTGTCTAAGCAGAATTCGGTATATTGTTCTGAAGCTGAGGTAGTGAATGTGTACAAGCAAAGCCAAAACCTACGGTATACTATTTACATGTGCTACGACCCTACTCGTCATCATTGATGAACTTTCCTGTACCAGGGTTGATAGCCGCGACGAAGAAGAACACGATACTCGCCAGCAGCAGCGGCTCCAACTCAAAAATCGGCAACCCAGTCTCGATATTCAGCTGCGCCAACGCACCTCTCCCAGTGACCACCTCGCCAACCAAGCTCGCGGCAAACCCTAATTGCGCCATGCGCCCCACGAAAAGCTCGTTCGCCTTGGTAAACCCGAACAGTGGCCCGTCCTCGCTCAGTCCAAGCGCGGCCTTGAAACTGCCGGGCTTCACCGGCGGACCCGCAGGCGCCTCGTCGTCAACAAATCGCCCGCGGTCGCCCAGCCCGCCGATCGCGCCGAGCACGGTGAATGCGATGAAGAAGAGGAGGAGCGGCTCGGCTTCCGTGATAGGAATTCCGGTTTCCAGATTAAGTTGCGAGAGAATTCCTTGCCCGGTAACGGCTTCGCCAAGGAGCGACGCGGCAAATCCGAGCATCGCCACGCGGCCGACGAAGAGTTCGTTCGATTTCGTGAACCCGAAGCCGCCGGATGTGCCGAAGATGCCGTCTTCTGTGCGGAGTTGCTTCTTAGCGGGAGTGGTTTTAGCGGGGACGGCGGATTTGTTGAAGCCGAGGAGGGCGGTGACACCTGGTCTGCCGGGAGCAATGGCGGAAGCGGCTGCTAGGCGATGGGCAGAAAGCGAAGACCCTTTGACGGCTGTGCTGAAGGAGAGGGCAGAAAGCGATTGGATCGCGACGAGGGAGGAAGCCATTGCGATACGTTGCTGGAGTTTGAGCCGAAGAAGTAGCTAGCAAGTGCTGCGATGGATGAGGGAGAAATCAAACTGGGAGGAGCTGATGAGTAATCCCGTTCGAGGGTGGGGAATTTATTATGCTTGCCGGGCCGCGAATTCGAATTCCAGCAGTGTGATAGCGAGCTCAAGGCAACAGACATTCATTGTGAGACGTGGCTGCCCAACTGGAACGCCACGGTGGATAGTCTGAATCACTGTCTTGCACTTTTGGGACGTACGTTCAGCCGCGTGGACCTTCTGTTACCATTGATGTCGTCAACGAACAGAGCAGAGGACGAAAGCGCCCCACGTCAGATCTCTGACTCCAATGGCTTCTGGCTTTTGGAACTTCCTGGGCTATCCGGAGCCGACAATAGCGCCGTTGACCGCCTGTGACCTGATTTGTTGGACGGACGGAACGGAAGTCGAAAACCTGGGGCCCACCAAGCTTGCTCCTCTGTTCGCGTTAATAACAGTGCGTGATTATTTACAAGGAAACATCATCTTTGATAATCCAAGTCATATTCTAAGCGCAGTAGCAACCCAGGGATATGCAGACACAACCATGAGGTGCCAGGAGGAGGAGGGGTTGACAATGGTGTTTGACGGTTCATGCATGCAACTGTGCTAGGGAACAATTTATGTTATTTACCGCTTTAAAACACTGCGCACCATATTCAACCTGATACGGTCGTTTGTACCCCAACGAAAATGATGCTGTGCTTGGGCAGCCCCGCATGGCGATGTCCAGTTGGTCATTTCTAACTTCCCTTCTTCAAAGCCACATCATGTGCTTCCGTGGACCCCGATATGGCCACACTTCGTTGAGCTCCACATCACTCGTCCTAGAATTGCGTCAGTCAAGGACAGATTTTCAGAATTCTGGGGCGTTTCTTGATGTTGTCGTCCAGCTTGGCAGCCAACTTCAGCGAATCACGGCAAACGAGGAGATCCTAAATCTTCTCACACGTGTCTACCTCGGGTGTATTCAGGCACTGACACTTGAGCAAAGGAATAAATATCCGACTCAATCCATTGTCGGAACACTAAGTTTTGCGTGTAATATAACGTGAAAGATGGCGGTCATTTAGGAAACCAGACGTTTCAGACATTCACACAGACGCACTTCATCTTTCGTAAGTTCACCCTGGAAAAATCTGGCTTTCCTCAGGAAAAGACTGTGCTGGGAAATTCTGTTCTCCTCACTGGTCCATTTTCCAATGCATCTCTTCTGAATCTGGAATCACAAAGGAGGTTCGACTTTTCCCTCAGCTGAAGGGGTTCTTTCCTCTCCGGAGTAGCAGAAGCAACTTCAGTTTTCACGCCCTCCTCGGCTCCTCGACTTCGTTGTTCTTTGAGCTTTCGGATAGCCATGGAGGCCTTTTGCCTTGCTCGACCAGCCCTTGTGGTGGCTCCCCGCACCATCCGCACACTCCCAGTGCGGTCAGCGCGGTCCAATGCGAGAGTGGTCTGCGCCATCAAGTTTCCGGGTTTCGGCTTCACTGCCAAGAATGAGAGCGAAGACAACGAATCTTACGCTGGAGCCGACTCCGCCACGACGTGAGCTTCGAGATTCTCGCCTGAGATGTCTATCAATGCTTGATGCCACCGCATTGTTTTACCCCAGTGCTCCTTTCCTTGACCGGCAATGCCACTATAGAGCCTTATTTTCCGTCCCCTAAGTTTCAGAGTTCCTGATGCTCATAGCTCGCCATCCTGAACCGTTTACCTTCTCCAGTGTATTCCCCGCGGAGGCGTGCGACGAGCTGGGAGGCGAGTTCTGCAATGCCGAGGGCGTGTTCGCTGAGGTGAAGCTGGAGTCAAAACCTGAACCCGTCGTCAAGCAGGTCGAAGGGAAGGATGTCGGCGTGGTCGACTACGACGGCCCTAAGACGTACGTTCGGAGTTGCAATGTGATTTGTATTCAGTCTAAATCTACCATGTTCAATGAATGCGATTTACTGTCACATGAAGCCTGTCCTCTAAGAAGGTCCTACGACGTACGTCCGAAATCGCAGCCTGTTATTGCATTGGAGAATCCGTTTTGCATTGAATGTGTGGACCATACTCGCCACGTGAGAACTGTGTCAAGAATCAGTTGCCCGCTTTTTTTACCCACGATTACATGGTTTGGGCACCTTCGTCTCAAAGCTCTCCAGAGCGAGTGGCGTTGGCTTTCTCGTGGCTCTCAAACGGGCTATTTTTCTCTCTCTTTTGCTTCTTTCGTGCAGCGTTTTCCCCGGCGAGGCATGCGACGAGCTAGGAGGAGAGTTCTGCGAGCCTGATTACCAGGAGGGCGTTGGTGCCGAGAAGAAGCTCTGAGCGTAAAATAAGCAGTTATACTGGTTAGTACGAGACGCATGATTGTATATCCTTCTCTTTATTGCGCAATATCTCGATTTAATTACCCGTCATATTGAGCAGTCACTTGCAAACAGGGCAACCAGGACCAACCGCGACCGTTTGTAGAGTCTGACCATGTCTTTAAAAACTGTTGGCGGACGGTTTTCTCGCGTCTCTCCCAACCTCATTCCTTTCTGCACACCCGCACCAATTATCCCTCGCCTCCCTGTTTCCCTGAACAAGCCTGTTTCCGCGACCTCTGCCTCCTCCATCTCCGGCTCAGCCTACTTGTCCTATTCTCTCGAAGCCCTGTCATCGCTTCCCCTCACGTTCCACCCCACTCCCCTATCGAACCTACCCTCATGCGTCGCCGTCGCCCTGCCCATCGATTCGCGCTTCCACATTGGTGAAAGTGAAATCCCAGCGCAACACTGTTCACACCCGCAGCCTGAGAAGCAAGGCAGCACGCTAGTACCTGTCACTAGTCTCCATATGGGTTCTGTTCCGACTCTCGAAATGCAAGTCCGGTAGTCAGGCTGCTACAGAATTCTGGGTAAGTTAGGTCCTCAGTGGATGCAAGCTAAGGAGAAAGAAACTGGTGCTGCCTCAGCTTGGCGAAACACTGCTGCCTCAGCTTGGGGAAACATGTTGCATTTGTGGCTGGGGTCTATCTAAATCCCTAAAAGTAAACCAAAGAATCACACCCAGGCATTGTCAGTGAAGAGCAAATTAGAGAGAAAGTTGCAGGCATGCACATTCACAGGAGGTTCTGTATTGGTTTATAACTTCAGTAGTGGGATTTTCACAACATAATGGGGTATGCTTCATAAGAAGGTACCGTACCATGTTTTGTCCCTCACCAAAGTTATGGCTGGTCGTTTCTTCTGAGGGACTGCCTTGCCTTCCATTGGCAGACCCTTTGTCTATACCGGTACTGGCTGTACCGTAATCTGTGACATTCTCTTGGGATGTAGTAGCGATTTTGTATCAAGGTACATCTTGCATTCGTCTTAAAATTATGAAGGCAATAAAACGGAAATCCGGAGCACAGCTATGAGAAAACAGTCTTGGATACAAATGCAATAAGTAATCAGTTGATGACACTACAAATCATCTGAACACGGTAGTTCCTCCCTAATCGAGATTAACTACAGTGAATCACCCTGACATGGCACGACGCGGGAAACCTTGATTTCACATTCCTCAGAGATTTTACCCAACCTCGAAAATCGATTTTCACCCACAGACCTCCTCCCGAGTCTGGCCGACGACTAGTTTTCGTGGTTTTGCCTTCAAGCTGGAACCACTACGGCGGAGTTTCACCACCGTCACAATCGCATGGCTCTCATATAGCTGAAACGGAGGACTTACGAAGATCTAGCTGGATCAGGAACAATACTCAGTCGCCTCGTCTTCACTGAAGTGGACAGTGGCTGATTCCGACCACGAAAAAGTCGTTGCTGTTTCAAAGGTTTTGTCCATACCAGACTTGAACTCTAGGTCTTAGTCGCAGGAGCTTAAGCGAGGCGAGAATTGGCCAATATGTTGGTGAGGACGTACCAGCGGAAACGCAGAGGGGTACCGAGCGGTTCAGATGACTCGTTCGCGGAGTCAGCGTCGCAGGACTCGCAGTCGTTCTTCTCGTCGCAGTCGCAGGAGTTTCAACTGAACGGCCTTGCCTCGTCCCAAGTACGAGCCTGTGGTTCCAGCCCGCGGTCGGCTTTCATTCTATGCATATTTGGAGAAAGAACGAATCAGACTAGTAAACATGCGCGATTAACTGTTCATGACATGCTCCTTATGCTCCTTTTTTACGCATCTGTCTGCATTTGCGTGCACTTGTCAAGCCTGATTCCTGCTTGTCGTTGTGTTTCTGCTTCGCAGAACTCTGAATGGTCGCTAGTGGGCAGCGATGATCCCGAAGCCATGCTGGAGCGTCCACTTTCGTCCCACCGCAACGCCAACCCCCCTGGTGGACTTTTCTCACCGGAATCCGAACCTCTGCATCACTCCTATTCCAAACCTGACGCTTTTCGCGGGTTTCTGTCCCAGCCGACACGCTCCAGTCTCCCACCTCCTGGGCCCTCTCGCACTAAAATCGAACCCAACCGAGCAGCACCACGCCGGCGATCAGCAGCAAGCTGGCGAAGCCAGATGGACGGTGGAGATGATTCCAGCGGCTTTTTGAACCACGTGAAGATGAAGAAGGGCGGTAAAGGTATCCAGAGTCAGGGGAGAAAACAAGGCAGGTGTGGCAAGGCAGCGAGCGCATCTCAAGAGGCGGATGTAGAAAATATAGGGCAACCAAGGCCGGGCGATGGGACGGGGAAACAGGGTAGTGAGCGAGAGATTGATCCGGAGGAGGAAGAGCTTCGGGAGCTGGAAGCGCTTTTCAAGTCTCCAGTGCACCACAGCTCGTTCCTGACTCAGAAGCACAGCAGCTCCCTCATGCCTGCTGCAGTAACTGCTGCCGCGGCAGCAGTAGCAGCGGCAACAGCAGCATCAGCAGCGGGGATGGTGGCAGCGGCAGCAGCTGGCGCATCCCCAATGGGATCACAGGAGCCGTATTCACAAGACTCAGAATTTCCAGGGCCTAGAGGCGCCAGTCTAATGGAACCTGAGGAGTCAGATTTCCG